TGTATGTGTGTGTGTGTACGTGTGTCTATATATGTGTGTATGTGTGTGTGTGTGTGTGTGTGTTTATTTTATATATTTATATATTATATATATATATATATATATAATGTTTTACTCCCACTTGCTCGCGGGACTTGCGTGCAAAACCTCGCCACCATGCTTTAGTACGAGCACAGATATTCACATGTAGCTAATATAGGTTCTGGTTAGGCAGTTCCTTTAAGTGGGTCGCGTGGTCTAGTTGCTTAGTTCTGTTCTCTCTGGCGCGTGTTACCTGAGGTCTTAGGGTTCGAGTCATTGTCATGAAGGGCAATTAGATTTCCTTACCCAAGTACGTATGGACACAATGTGTGTTTTTGTATGTCCATATCCCGTCCATACGCTTGAGCAGAAAGACGTATATGAAAATAAAAGGAACAGTTTATTCCCTCTTAGGGTCGCTCCTTCCGTTAGCTTGCGTCGAGGCCAACGGCGCGGCGTCTCTTGGGTGCGGTGCCAAGGAAGAGCACTGCCCGCGTGGTTTACTTAACACCTGCCAACGGGAAACTGGTACACGCGCATAAAAAGTATGGGTATAGAGTGTGTAAGTTAAATGTTTACGAGATAGGTATTGATAGTGTGTGTGAGTGTGTGTGTGTGTGTGTGTGTGTGTTGTGTGTGTGTGTGTGTGTGTGTGTGTGTGTGTGTGTGTGTGTGTGTGTGTGTGTTTGTGTGCGTGTGCGTGTACATGCGTATGTGCATGGGTGCGTGTTTTTTTATTTTTTTATCTGGTGTCATTACCTTAAATAAAACGGAATAGTGATATATCTTTATTTACTGATGATCGCCATCTCAGCTTATGTATTTTCCAAATAGTTCCATATTTCTATCGCCGTATGTCTCTATGTTTCTTTATATTTCTCTTGTGAACGTCTTTCAAAAGTATATTCACTGATATTTGACAACTGCCTCGAACTTTTTCATTATATACTTAAAGCATTGCGTGAATAAAACTATATCAAACAAGGTATTATAAATGTTCAGTATATGTATCGGGAAGAAAGAAAGAAAGCAGAGTAATTCATTACGAAAATCCCACTTCCATCATAAAAAGAAGACAGAAACCAGCTGTAAAAGCAGCACCACGTGATCGTACACGCGCTCACCTGTCTCCGGTCTGGACACGTGAACAGGGTTGCGAGTATTGATCTCACACAGCTCTGCAATGATCGTGTTTGTGAGTCAGGGCAGAGACACCCCTTAGTATGCAGAGTATGTGTAACACAACATTAGAGCATCTCGAAAAAATATCCTATCGTGTTAATAGCATTCGATCGTCTGTACAGAATTCGATCGTTTTTTTATAGGATTCGATCGTCTTTGTAGGGCTTGTTTAAAGAGAGATCGGGAATGTCACAGTAGGTTTTTGTATTGTTTTTGTTTTCTTCATTTGTTGGAACGTCTGTTTCTGTCAAGTTTGCCGTAGGTATTGATGGGTAAATATGTCATTTATGTCACCTTACATAAAACGATGCATCATTGATTTTAATACCTTGACAGTCTTATTGCAATGTTAACTATTATCACTGTCTTTGAAGGAAAATGTTCCATGCAAATTTCGTAGGTTTAACAGCGCGTTTGCTTTATTCATAGGTGTATCTCAGAATCATTTGTATTTCACGTGATTTGGTAATTTGTTGACTACAATTACTTTAAGAATGAAATAAATCGGTCCAGCAATGCACATTGAAAAAGTAAAATCTTGCGCATCATAATCAGATGTTTTCAACTTTTCTGAATACAAATTAGGTGATCCTAAGAACTGTACCAAAGAAGTGAGTAAATACTATTATAAACTATTTTTTTTCTTTTTTATGGTACTTCTTTTCCTGCTTTGCATATCGTCCAGAATTGTATTTCCGCGAAGTATTTTAAACATGCGATCTCTGATAGTAGACTTATTCCTAACAGAATAATAGTCACAGTTAGGGAGGCTTTTTTCAAGGAGTACAAAACCAGAGCCGTTAAGAGGCTACGTTGCCCTTAAAAGTTCAAAACACGAGAAATCTCAAAAGTGCTAGCGTTGCATAACTGACTTCCATGCGCTACCATGATTCCACACCGAATGATGGTTGTGCTAGCATTTAAGATAAAAACTCTAAGCCTGCACCCTAACCTGATGAGCACGAGTGAGACGTAATAATTTTGATGAACTTGCTGATGCAACTGACACGTGGTATAACATTTGCAACTGCACAGTGAATGCTTGTTGGGCAATCTTGTGAAGGAGAACAAACACTGACAACCCATCCGTTGTTTCTATCTCGACTTTTCTTCTTCCTTGATAAACGAAGGAAGTAGTTTGGGAATATGCAATAATGGCCCCGCACTGTCTTCTGCGCTGTCATGTTAGTTGTTCATGCATTTATTATTCTTTATGAGAAACACGTACAGTTAGAAGGTTTTCGCCCACAACGCGCGACTCAGCCTGTTGTTGTTGCTCGAGAACCTTGATGACTATTCTCATGATGCAACACTCGTGAAGAATGCAGTTATTGCATAGTACTATTAATACCCCTTCAGATCCTGCTCTTTTGTCTCGAGCTGAGATAATTGCTTTCATCGATGAGATTTTGTCAAACGCGATTTTTTTTTTTTTTTTTTTTTTTTTGCGTGTGTGTGTGTGTATGTGTATGTGAAACGCGATTTTTTTTTCTTTCTTTCTTTCTTTTTTTTTCTTTCTTTGGAGGATATACCGCGCCTCCTGATTTCTGCTGAACATCTCGTTTCTTGTTACAACCAAATGTAGGCAAAGGAAAATGGCCTTAGTTTAACAAAATGTGGATCTGGCAGTGGAATAACAGCCGATTTATTAACATCAGATTTATTAACATCGACTCCATCCGCGATATGATTTTTCCTTCCTAAAGCTTGCTGCATCGCCTTCCATGCTGTTTACTTGGCTAATTGCCACAGAAAAGGTTGGATCTACGTTATCCGCACTGGCGAACCCTTGTTTTTGCTTTCTCCTTCGCTCTCTGGCTTTCTATTTCTATTTCTATCTGTCTGTCTATGTCTATCTTTCTGTCTGTGTCTGTTTCTTGCATCTGGACGCCCCCAGTGTTGCAGTAGGAAACGAACACGCAGTAGTAGCAGTTCTGATTTGGTCCAGTCATGTCAGTCATTCCACAGCCTTCCCTCGTTGCTGAAGAGGGAAGGACTCTCACCCTGGCGGCGAAATATTGCGTATTTCGTGTGTTGTGTGTGTGTGTGTGTGTGTGTCTGTGTGTGTGTGTGTGTGTGTGTGTGTGTGTGTGTGTGTGTGTGTGTGTGTGTGTGTGTGTGTGTGTGTGTGTGTGTGTGTGTGTGTGTGTGTGTGTGTGTGTGCGCCCGAAGTTTCCTCGCAGTGAGAAAACCAGAGCGAGCGGATGGATTCCGCCCGATAACAGGGCCTCTGTTGTCCCTGCCATCGATCAGTGGCACGGATAAAGGTGTTGCACTGTTAGTATATAAGAACACTTTAGTTTATCCGAGTTGTAAGATAAGAATAATATAGAAAAAGAAGAATAGAGGATTCATGGAAAACGACGCGGACTCTGAAATTATGTGTAAGATTCAGAGGAAATGCCACAGATGGGTTCTTGGAAAATGGATTATTATCATTACCAGGCAGCAGAGCGCCATGAGCCAGGAGATCAGAGAAGGGAACCCAACTTGCGGAAAACTAAATAGATGGATTATTTTTATGGCAGAGAAGACAAAGACGAAGAAAATAAGCGAACAAGTACATTCAAATTTCGTCGATTCGATGATGTGACAAGTGGTCTGCAACAGAAAACGTGTCAAATTCTCGGAAGGAAAATCTATAAGAATTGTTTTGTCAATGATACGTACAGTGTAAATGTTTTGTTATATTTAGCAAATATTAGGTATAAAACATCGCGGTACAGTGAATTTCTTCATTCCTTCACTGGGGACGGTTATTACGAAGAAAGAGGCTAAACAGTGCAATATTGTTGCCCCATATGAGTATGTTCTACATCCTGGTCTTGACCCACTGGCCTTAATAATCGTGCTTAGGTAGGACTTCTGAGACTCCACCATAACGAGACGGTGTCATTTTGAGATGGTCATAGTACTCATCCAGTTCTGTGTTATCTTTACTGAAATGCAACGTTTTATAGGAGCGATGTTCAGCTATTCTCGACTTCCATTCCAGACCTGTGGTCATCTCAGACCTATAAAAACCTATTGAATAAAGCAGTGCACCATGCTATTTAGGACTATTACCTCCGCATTAACCTCACTCGCCGGAACCCCAGCCCACCTTCCTTTTTGAGACAGGCAGCGCGTCAAAGGGGCGTCGGGCGTCGGTCACGAGCTCTGCCACGGTCTGGTCAGTGGCGGCCGCAGAGAGGGAGGCAGCAGACGCATCCGACGAATCAAGGCCCCTTTCGGCATTCCAGAGAGTGCGAGAGGCTCATGCGTCGTAGTATTCGTATACTATCAGGTATCAGGAAGAGAACAAGAGGCGAGAGCGACAGAAATCTCGACCGCGAAAGGCTGCCGCAAGCACAACCAGAATAATGAAGGATAGTGAAGAAAACTTAACAAATTAAAGTGAGAATAGGAAAAATAAATGGATCAGTACCAGGTAAACGGCCAGCGCAGATCAAGACAAAAGAGAACAAACACATACACGCAATTGCACGTGAGCTCGAACACGCATACGCGTTTTAGCATGTAATTCTTCTCCCTTATTGGCTTATATATCGCCAACAGTTTCAGGTTATTAAATTCATACATTAATTAACTATAACGGTCAAAGAAGTAAAACTTCGTGGAATCTTAAAGATGGATGTGTATATCAATTTTTCCTCTGATCCTGTTCAGTATTTAAGTGCAAGGTCTATTGGCCGGTTTGTTCAAATTATGCAAGGTCCGATCCAATGAATTTTCATACATATGGACATGCATATACACAGAAATAAATGCACATCTCTATCTATCTCATATATATACTTGTATTTATCTATCTATTCGGTAGATATGCATGTCTAGACTGATAGATAAGTGTTTGCGTATATGCATGTCCGCGTAATGGCCTCGCATAATTTGAACAAACCGGCCATATGATACCACTTGGCTGTACCCAATACCTTTTGAGGTAAGGCAATGCTGATTCACATGTTATCATTGTGATTATATAAAGAAGTGAAATAATCGTTACAATACATATTGTATCAAGTTAAGTATAGCGCAACCATTGTCAGTGATGGCTATGATCGCACCAGAATCAGTTACCGTAAATGTTTGGTGGTTGGAGGCACGTTGGCACTACCATTGTAATTCGTGTGACGAGTACTTTGCCAAAGGAAGTACTTCAGTGAATAAGCCTTTTGGGAAAAAGTGAGATAATTCCGTGAGAGAACCGCATTGAAGTAACCTTGACCCTTGATCGCCCTATCTGTAGATTAGTCATCTATTCTTTTTTGCCTTGATTCTTGATGTGGGCGGGTGCCATGGGAACAACCCCCCCACGTCTCCCCACCTCCCGCCTGACAGCGCACACTCCATGCACACAGGCACGCCATGTCTCCGACCCAGCTGTGAATGAAATACTGACCCATCTTTTCTCTGAAATTTTGATGACCAACGATTCCAGTATCGCAGGCAAAATAACTTACTCGTCTGGTTCTTCACCGAAAGCTGACAACGCCCTGCTATTATCAGACACATTCTCCCTTATCAAACATGTAGTCAAATATCAGTTGAAATATGGCAACACATTATGAGAGCATATAATAATAGCAAACCCCCACTGATAAGCCTGATAATCAGATTAACGCGAGAGCTATAAGGATTGCATCATCTCAGCGGGAGCAGGGAGGAAGCGCGCCGTCATGCATCCGATGGGGATCACGTGCCCGCCCGCAGACACGTGACTCGGGCTGCAGTATATATTGATTTTGCATAAATTTGCCAGAGAGTCGAGCGTGCATCCGTCGGGGGCGGAGTTTGCGGCGCGCAAATTTGCTGGAGCACAATACGGGTTTACTGTGCATGGACGGCAGAGGGCTGGCGAGCTGAGGAAAAGTTTTTTTTTAAGTTCGAGGGATAATTTTGGATACTGTGAGGGTATTATGCCAAATAAAGGAGAAATTTGGATAATGTGAGACACACACACACACACACACACACACACACACACACACACACACACACACACACACACACACACACACACACACACACACACACACACACACACACACACACACACACACACACACACACACACACACACACACACACACTATATATATATATATATATATATATATATATAATATATTATATATATACATATATATATATAAACATATATATATATATATATATATATATATAATATATATATATATGTTATATACATACATATACATACACACACACACTATATATATATATATATATATATATATATATATATATATATATATATATCTCCTTCTTCATTTTGACCCACTCCATTAGATAAAACCATGTCGTCAGTAAACTTCAAACCACTCTGCACCAGAAATTACCAAAGCTCCGGCGTGCGCGGGAAGCATACTTTCCTCGGTTGCAATTTTAGGTACTTGGGCGCCGTCGCCACCTCGCCCTGCTTACCATGCGTGGGCTGTGTCATGCGGGATCAATGTCCTCTCGAATCAGGCTATAATTAGCGTGTTTCTCCCTCGTTCCCCTAATGGTACCTCACATCTCAGTAATAATGTTTATGCGTGTCTCTTGTAGGCCAGTCAAACTTGATGGTCATATTTGCAATACGTGTCTGTGTGTAATTATACAGAACTTGCATCATTGCGCGCGCGTGTGTGTGTGTGTGTGTGTGTTTGAGAGAGAGAGAGAGAGGGAGCCATGTCTCTCGCCATTATATTTCTACATCCTCACCTTCTTCCCCAGAGTGAGCGAGGCGGCCGAGTGACCATATGGGTTCTGGTCGCCCTGTTCACCGCCGTCGTGGGATCCAGTGTTCCTGCGGGATACAGCCTGGGAGTCATCAACACCCCGCAAGAGGTATGGCCTTCGGTGTCTTAGGAAGGAGTTGGAACACGTTGTGTCTGGCTTATAGATGTATCTGTACATGTACAGCATATCCATATATATGTATGTGTGTGCGCGCACACACGTACACGCGCGCGTGCATACACACACACGCGCATACACACTATCGCACACGCACACGAACACACACACTATCACACACGCACACGAACACACACACTATCACACACGCACACACACACACTATCACACACGCACACGAACACACACACTATCAACACGCACACGAACACACACACTATCACACACGCACACGAACACGACACGCACACGAACACACACACTATCACACACGCACACGAACACACACACTATCACACACGCACACGAACACACACATCACACACGCACACGAACACACACGCACGCACGCACACACACACACACACACACACACACACACACACACACACACACACACACACACACACACACACACACACACACACACACACACACACACACACACACACACATACTATTCCTATGCATTTGATCCTTCAATTGTTGACCGTGTTGCATGCGGTGCATCCTTTGCGATATGTGACGGGTTAGTATTGAAATATGTATTGCTGTAAGTAATTCCTCAGGATGTGTGTTTTATTTTCAGGAAGAAGAGAAAACGTACTTGATCTGTTTCAGTTTTCCATATATATGTATGTGTGTGCGCGTGCAATCAGTTTCAGTACTTTAAAACTCATCTTTAAGTGACAGTGATAAAAGAGAGTAACATATTTTTTTCTATTTACAGATCATTCGCAGTTGGCTGCAGGTGACCGTTTACCAGCGCTATGGCATCACTCTCACGGCGAGCGAAGAAGTGTCTCTGTGGGCGGTGATTGTGACCCTCTATGTGGTTGGGGCCATCATAGGCGCGCCCATTGGGGCAACTGTTGCTGATAAAATTGGAAGGTAATTTATGAGAATCAGTTCCCTCAAATATGACTAGTTTTGATAAAAGATCTTTGCCGTTAGCCATGGGAGTATATGTTTATATCTTGGTTCCCATTTCCCTCAGGCGCATGGCTCTGCTGTTCAATCACTTGTTGTTATTGGCAACAGCCCTGGTTTTGGCCCTGTGCAAGGGTACAGGGTCAGTGGAAATGCTGTTCATTGGTCGCTTCACCTCAGGATTATGTTCAGGTAATGTCCATTATTTATGCTGTTACTAGACAAATTATATGTTTATTTATGTGAAATCTGTTATTCAGCATCATTTCTTCATCTTTAGTCACTGTCCGGGAATCTAAAGAGCTCTCTAGCCCAAGTTTGAACCATGTGTCTGTAACATGTAAGTGGTGTTTTACACGCACGTAAATTATTATGTTCATAGTACATATTGGAAGAGCCTCACAGGTCATCCCTTTTTTTATTATTATTTATTTTTTTTTTTTTTTTTTTTTTTTTTTTTTTTTTTTACAAACTCCTTTCAGAATTAATAGCTTTTTTACCCTTTAAGATATTGTAGACAAATGGTAACATGATAATGTCCATTATGCATGAGAAAATAAATTAAATAACTGTTTCAATCATTCTTGTTATTACAAATGAAGACCGCTGTTTCTGTACATCAGCCCCATGAGTTTTCTGTTTGTACCTGGAATGAACAAATGGTTTAAGCAGTGTGTCTCCAGGGGATTCTTGTATTTGATGTCACCATAGAATCAGAATCTTTGTGAAAACAAAATATCACTTTTGAGATTTTTAATGCATACATGCATTTGATAAACTGCAGTCGAAAACAGTATTGTATATTGTGCCTCATATGGGGAGCAATATTTGTTGTGTGCTTTTCACAGAACACAGCACGAGAACTGAAATAGTTGAGCTGATAATGGAATTCATAATTCGTAATTGGATACCTAAAGATGTGAATAGTAAATTCACATCCATATATGTAAAATGTGTGTGTGTGTGTGTGTGTGTGTGTGTGTGTGTGTGTGTGTGTGTGTGTGTGTGTGTGTGTGTGTGTGTGTGTGTGTGTGTGTGTGTGTGTGTGTGTGTGTGTGTGTATGCTAGATATATATGGTATATATCTAGCTAGATGTCAACTATCGATGCTAATTATCCAATTTTGGCAATATTAGAATGCAGAACCAAAAAGAAAAGTACAATACTACAACGAAAACACTGATTTGCTCTCTTTAAGACCGAGCGAGCGTCGATATGATCACCTCATGTCCGGGCTCTACTTGTAGTGAAAGTACAGGAGATTGTGTATTCTAGGTGATGCTTTAAAAAATACCGAAATTTACTTTCTTAATACTCGAGACTCGTTGACTTTACTTGCAATTCCATCATGCCCTTACTATGGTATTGCTACGTATCTTGCATCGCTACCGTAGCCTAAATTCACAACGAATGCGCACTATACATCATCGTACGCAAGGTCTATATAATCACCTATATAGACCTTGATCGTACGGAAGCCATCGATGTCACACAATCGTTAGATTTAAAGATGACACCAATTCTATAACTGCACCTTATATATAGTGATATGATTATAATCATGATTATTATCATTATTATGTAATGATCATCATATTGTTATGATAAACAGCAACGCGATTAAAAGTATATAGAACATAAAAGTAAAAAGAAATAAATATTTACAAGATCTGATTCCATCAAACGGTGATCAGGAGCACAATGAAGAAATATGATTTTGGACCGAAATGGCTTGTCCAGAACATATTACGTTATCAACCCATGAATTATATTAACGAAATGAGATCAGAGGAGACATGGAGAGCTGTTTAGAAACCACTGTTATTTATATATGTATCAATATATAACTGTGTTCTCTGTGAGTCTGTCGAAGTCAAATTATCAAATAGATCAATTCATATCATGATTTTGCTACCCCCGGCCAAAAAAATGTGAAAATATTAGGTTCAAGAAAAGGGTATAGAAAGCTCAAAAAAATAGCTACCACTATTTTTCTGGGAAGAAGAATTATTTAAAACGATTTCTCATGATTTGGCTAATGAGCAATCAGTTGGAAATAATGTAATCACTTGTACTAACAATTTAGGTAATATGTATGTATGTATAATATGAATGCTATGCTCACACAATGCACATCGAAAATAAAGTTTGAGTTTGAAGAAAAGGTTTACCGAAACTAACCTAAATCTTCACGTTTTACAACTTACAGGTCAGAAGGTACTGTACCCAGTAAAAGTGCCATCGCGGGACAAGATGTAAAAAAATGCATTGGTATATCATCATTCGTGATATTATTATTGTTTGTAACAAGGATATTTGATGGATTTTTATGGCTCCAGTTTGTGGTTTATGATGTTACAAGATATCTCCTGATGATGTCTTGAAAATCCATCGGGAAGGTATAGTATAGTGTACCATCAGGCTGTTTATCTGTTGATAGTGCGCACTATTATAAAAATGTAGCAATGTACTATCAGTGTCTACATTTACATTTCAGAGTTTGTTCTGTCACTTTATTCTGAGGCGTAGGAAAAAGGGGGGTAGGAGGAGTGACCGCCCCCTACTCTCTTGTGGAGAGGGGGCAGGACCCATCTTCTGCCCCCCCACCCACGCCCCCAACCCTACCCCACCCCACCCTACCCCCCACCCACTCCTCAACTTTCGAGGACATTCCCATGCAGTCCCCAAGACCCCTGGCTATTTTGGGGGCAACCTGCTTTAACCCCCACCCCATTCAAAAAATCTTCCTATGCCTATGTTATAATCCACATTAGATCTATATTTTCTACAATATTTTAAGTCAGTTCTGTATGATAAATATCAGTGGGAAAAAAAATATTTTGTATTGAGAGTTGAGTCAGTGCATCATAGTTGTTGTCAACTGCAAAAATATTTTCTGGAGGCAATTTTTATTATTTCCTCTATATATCTCTAATTATCTTTTGATACTACTATTCTATCTTTATTCATTTACTTGTGTTTCTTTTTGTTTGTGTTTATTATTATACAATAATCAGGATGATTTTGTTAATTATCATTAATTCTCATCATCATTAGCAGTTGTTGTTATTGTTATTAATGTAGTTATAATCTTTGAGATTGTTATCATTATTATCACTATTATTATTGTTATGATTATTATAACAATTCTTGTTATTCTTTTTCTTTTCTTTTCTTTTCCTTTCTTACCATACACATGTGCACACACACACACACACACACACACACACACACACACACACACACACACACACACCACACACACACACACACACACACACACACACACACACACACACACACACACACACACACACACACACACACACACACATAAAGACTGTAAAATTCATACATATTTCTGTCTAGTATTATAGATGATAAACATGGCCTTCCAGTATTAATGATTTCTCTGTAATATAATACTGACTTCTCAGTATTTACTTAGTAGCATTTAAATATCTTAAATACCATAACATGTGAATTATTCACTTGTAGATTGCATAAGCTGCTATCATAAGAGGATTTTGAATACTGAGTCAGTCATATGATAGTCAGGCATTAGCTATGCTGATTTTTTTTTTTTTTTTTTTTTTTTTTTTTTTTTTTTTTTTTTTTTTTTCCATTCGGGATGCCTTGTAAAAATACTGAAATTCTCTTAGCTAATACATGACATCTGTGTATTTTATAAGAAAAAGCTACTTATCAGTCTTTGTGTCCTTAGGTCCTATGCCCTACAGTACTGTTACATGTTCTTATGTACTGATCATCACATTTCATCATTTGTTTTCTAGAACATACAACATCTAGAGCATTAAACCTCCTAACTGTAGGAACTTCCATGATATTTAAACTGATGTCATTAAGTTGATATATATTTTTTACAACTGCCTAAGTTGAATAAGCTGCAAATGATAATTGCAGTAGCTTATAATACCAAAAATTATCCAGAATAGTAGCTCCTACAAATACCAAGAATGGTGCTGAATACATGTAATCATAAGCATTATAGAATGGGACAAGAAGTTGTATTATAAAGACAGGGTGACCCAAAATTAAACAAACATGTAATTAACTGAAGAGATAAAAGGCATTTTACTTTATTAACTAGAAAAGTGTTAAAAGTGTTCTTTTATTTTTACTTAGATTTGTGTAAATGCTATCCTGTAAATGCCTTTTTTTATAGCGACCCTATTATTTTTCTTTTGAATGTTCCCACTGAATAGAATATTAAGCTGTTTTGATTGCTTGTTCATTTTTGCTTAATGAAGACATTTTTCAGCACCATATGATGACTCTCCATTCATTCAAGAGTAGTGATTTCCACTGATCTTGTTTGATGACTTTTTGTTTTAGTGTTAAGCATAAAATTTCAGAAGTTAGTATATATAAGTATATTCATAGTCCATGTATTTTGACTGAAGAAGAATTTCATTTATCATTTACATAGGACTGTCCACGAGCCTGGTTCCTCTCTACCTGTCAGAAATAGCCCCCGCCTCATGGAAAGGAGTTATGGGTGTCACCTTCCCAATGGGCATGTGCATAGGTGTTCTTGTGTCACAAATTATGGGCATGGATAGTATCCTGGGTAAGTTCATTCAAAGTTCAGCCTATTTTGACAAAGACTTTTATCAGAAACTAAAACACTTATTTTTGTGGAAGATCCTATACTGAAATATTTGACAGCAATTAAGAGATTATACATTTCCATCTGATTTCAAGATCATTTTAAATCTTTCAGGTACAATTGATCATTGGAATTACTTATTAGCAGCATATGCTGTGTTTGTTGCTATGGCACTTCTCCTTCACCCAGCACTCCCAGAATCTCCAGCATTTTGTTACATTAATGCACAGGATGAAGTGAGAGGACGTAGGGGTAAGTTGAAATGGAAGAATATTTATTTCTTAACTACTATGTTACATAAAGTTTTCTGAGTGAAAGTATGTAGTATATATCATATTGCTGGTGAGAATTTGTCATATGTGAGTTTTGTTCCAACCACACAGATTAACATAATTTTGTTTCCCAGAACTAAGACGTCTGTATGGAAAGGATGATAAATTTATTGAGGCAGAGGAGACTGCTCTTAAGGTCATGGCTGGTATGAAAAACAAAGCACAAGATGAGAGCAGTGGATGGACCTTCTCTCAGATGATTTTGAACCCAAAATATCGAATGTCATTGGCTATTGCAATGGTCTTTAATGCAGGCCAGCAGTTTTCTGGCATCAATGCAGTAAGTGACTTGTATAACCTTAAGATCGATGTGAAGTCAAGTTGAATTAAACAAAATTAAGAAGATGAATCCTAGTTTATTTTTTCTGATGCTTAATTCCATGGAAATGATTATTTATAAAAGAAAAAACTTATTTAGGAATATTGTATTATTCTCTGTATAGAGAATCCATTATTTATTGTATTAAGTACATTCCACATTTATGATATGCTTACTGTAGTGTAGAAGTAATACTGAGAGTTGATATTCTGTTATTTTTCTAACAGGTATTCTTTTACTCAACTCTAATCTTCCGAAGTGCTGGACTAGATATCCAACAGAGTCAAGGTGCATCTATAGGAGCTGGTGTAATTAATTGCATAATGGCTTTAGCTGCAGCACCCTTAATCAAGTAAGTTCAAAAGAGGAATGGATCAGAAGTAGATATATGGTTAATGGTTAAAAAGCAAAATGAATGTGCTAAACATCTAAGGTAATGTAGCACTATAGGAAGATACAGTAAAAGGTGGTGAAGAGAGGGGATGGAGGGAGGGTTAATGTATATGAAGTTTGAGCTGAGGGGATGGGCTGTGTTAGAAGGCAGTAGGAGGAAGGGGTGGAGGGGGAATATGAGTAGGAGGAGAATGGATATTGGCAGTAGTTGGAGCTGAGGGGATGGGTTGTGTTTGAGGGGGATGGGTTGTGTTGGGAGGGAGTAGGAGGAAGGGGTGTAGGGGGAATATGAGTAGGAGGAGGATGGATATCGCAGGCACTTTGAGTGTGGAGGGAGCAGAAGTTGTGGAATTTGACAGTGGGTGAGGGTTTTCAGTGTCATTTTGGAACTTGAGTGGATAGTTTTGAATATCTTCAGGAATTTCTGCAGTGGAGTTTGTTGGAGAATTTTGTGAGACAAAGGTTTTTTTATGAGGGGGGAAGAGGAGACTTTTGTTGAGAAGTAAAGGCAAAGGTAGGTGGAGGTGAGTGTGTGGAAGGATAAGAAGGGATGGAATGTTTAGTCTGTTTGCTGCGGTTAGTGTGGGGAGGGAGAGGGGAAGGTGTTGGGCCTGCAGTAGAAATTGTAGACATTAAAGGGAAGTTAATGTCTATGGTAAGTAATTTTGGCAATGTTTGTGGGGTTTTTACAATGACCTCTAGGAGGAATGATGTAGCACTGTACTGATGTCACATTGTAGTCTGTGAGGCAGGCGATTAAGTCTTCTCCACAATCTGACCAATCTTTGGTATTGACGGGGCAGTTTGCTGGGGAGATAGAGACAGTATTACAAGTATTAAGGGTTGGATGAGGTTCTGCAGGAATGCAGTTGCCAGAGAGATCAGTTAGAGTTGATAATGATAATGCTATAGCTTGGTCTTCAGATGTAACTGTAACAAGACGGGAAAGATCGAGTCGGGTACAGAAAAGGACTCTGCCTACGTGTTTTTGGAGACATTGCTGAAAGAGAAGAGTGTTGTCTGAGTAAGAAGCTAAAGGGGTGATCACACAAAATTGGACCCATTTGGGTGGTATAAATAGAATATTTAAGACATTTGTAGAGATGGGGGTGGTAGAAGGATGAGGATGTGTGGAAGAGGGAGTATTGTTGAGGGGGGTAGTGTTATGGAGAGGTGGAGAATAAGGCTGTAAAGTAGGAATAAGGGAGGATGGGGTGATTGATGAAGAAGGGTTTATTGGCCATGGTAAGCCTGGACTATGCTGGGGAAAGAAACAGTCCACCCCTCAGGGTGGAATACCACGCCCGTTGCTCCCTCAGGCCGTTCAGGACTGGCACAAAGTCTAGCCTTTCATTCTTTCAGAACAGCTCTCACACCTTAGGAAGTAGATAGTAGAAAGGATTGGAGAAGGGACAGAAACAAAAAAGCAGGATGGAAAAAGAAATTAGTTGCATTGAGGGCTGAGACCCAAGGTAGGGAAGATCCCCAGCATTGGGTCCCAGTCTTTCCCTCCTAAGCCCCCTCACGACAACAACGGGCAAGGGATTGGGGAGGAAGTAGATAAATGATTTAGAAGTAAAATGTGAAAATGTTGGATACTGGATTGATTTCTTTGTTGCAAAGGATATAATTAAATGACATAGTATCAGTTAATGAAGTGTGATTTCTCTTTATTCCAGATATTGCAGAAGAAGAGTGCTTTTGATGACATCCATAGTACTCTGCATTGTCTGTCAAATTGGGCTAATGATTTCTCTACAACTGATATCTGAACACCGCTCTGCTTCTTTCGTTGCCATTGGTGCTCTCATGGCATATGTCTTATTCTATGGCATGGGTCTAGGACCTGTTCCTTTCATGATTGCAACTGGTAAGATAATTATCAACTTAGTGGATTGAGTCCTTTTAGGGTTTTCTTTAAAAGTCTGAGTTAGTTATTTGAAATAAGCAGTCACATACCATTCTGTCAGATCTCTTAAATATCAGAGGTGTTTAGTATAGTTGCATTTGGTTGATAATTTTTTAATGTAGACATGTTTAATTAATTGAAACTTTTACTGCAGAGCTATTTCCATCTGGCCCAAGATCCGTTGGAATTTCTATTGGAAGTACAAGTAACTGGATGAGTAACCTTGTCGTTGGTCTGACTTTCCCTCTTCTACAAGTGCAGTTTGGAGAATTATCCTTCTCATTCTTTATAGCATCATCTATTTTGATGTTTATCTTTGTTTTTAGGTAAGAAAATATGTTGTACAAATAAGATACAGGTTCTTGATTCCTCCAAAGAAATATACATCATAAGTTGAAAATCTTGTTGAAAGTTGATTGATGTACATATATGATCGTTTATTATTTCTCTTGGCATGAGTTTTAGAAATTAACTTTTATTTCCACTAATATTTTTTTCTCCCTTAACAGATTCCTACCAGAAACACTTGGCAGAGACGAACCACCATCACCTCAATCATCATTTGAATTTATCACTGACAGTGACAATTTGGAAACACCACCTTCAGACGTTCTAAAAAATATGATTTAAATGGTAACAAAATCATACATTTACATTTAAACTTAGAAAGGAATGATAAGAATGTAAAGCACAATTTCTTTAATGGCATCTCAGTTTTTAAGGGATGTTTAGATTTTTGTTTGAAATATGTGAAAAGATATCCTAAGAAAGTTAGTAAACACATCTGGAATGATTATTTGAAATATTTGCAATATGCATTATGAAAAATTAAAAGAATTTGGTGTATTCCAAAACACAATTGTATGTGCTAAGTCAAAAATAATGTTTTACTTTTCAAAAAGAGCAAAATCAGGGGTCCACAACATATATACTTGAATGTTTGATATACTTTGCTACTCTATTAATTTATTTACGGATTTACAGTGAAAAACAACTAATGATCTAATAAATGCAGTATTCCTGGAAGATATGCAGTATATTTTATATTGAATCACAAAAATGTGCTTGTGAAAAGATAATGGAAAATTTTATGCGGTATAAATGAGCACACTAAATACCACAGAGTATATAATATTTAATGGAAATAGATCTGTTCTCTTAAAATAATCAAAATAGGAATGATATCAAGGTACTTTCTCCATAGGTTGTTGTGCATTTTAACACAAATGGTTTTGTAGTACTGTTGCATTTACATATTTCTTGTAATATGCTTTTTTGTCCTTTGTAAATGACAAAATTTGTCATGTTCAAATATTCCCGTTTACATGTTGTCTTCAATGACTGTACAGTTTTATTTAATCTTGTTCCATTTTCTACTTGTTCTTGTAATTGTATTGTGATAATTTTCATATTTTAAATTTGATAATAGAAAAAGAGTATATATACACATATAATTGGAATATTACATGTAATGCCCCCATAATAAGAAATTACCCATGTTTTGGCTAATTCTGATATAGTCATCTTTTTATTGCAGTTATATTACATGTATAATAAGCTTTGACCATAGCTACTTCAAAGAGAGAATTTCATGTGAGAAAATAATGTATAGTTTTATATAAATAGAGCTTTTATATATTATAGTCTTGAAATGAGAAATGGTTATAGACATTCATATTGAATTGTATTCTACTTCTTTCTGTTTGTATACAATGTTTTACATTGTATGTAGAAGTTGGCATTTACATCCATTACTGCTTGTGTTCATGTTTTCCAACATGATGTTGGGAATTTACTTAAATTTTGATGCATTTCATTTAAATGCAGTGTTTTCTACTTGAAATAAAATTTAAAATAAA